TTCATCATTTGCAGATAACTGATCAGAAGCTGACAAAGAAGGAAGAAGGTAAAAATCTTATTTATATAATATGTTACTTTTATCATTTTGCTTAGGGGTGAACATTCTTTTAATATGGATTAAATTTATAAGAGTTACTGTAGCTAGATCTGCCCTGTTCATTAATGAAGCCTTCATTATAGATTATACGCATCCACTTGTGCAACTCTAGCTAATTGAACTCTGTAAAATGCTTAACTAGTTGATTTTAGCAGCAGCTGGCTTGTGGTTGTTTTGTATGCACTTTACTTTTTCTTTGTTGTTTGAAACCTTTTCGGACTTTTGAGGTATTCTTTTTTTTCTGTGTTTTTTTATGACAAGAGGTGGGGTCTTAACGAGGCCCACCTGTAAGGCTAAGCTAATTGACTTTTTGGTTAGCATTCTTTTTTACTTTCATATTATTTTCAGCGTCTCGGGCTTCATGAAAAAGAAAAAAGAAAAATATAACCTCCTGAAAATGATTATTGACCAAGTTAGGCCGATAGGCAACTATTTGTAAACTGGTCTTCTCTGGTACATTCATTTGTCTCTGTTACCAACTAGTTTCTCACTTTCTTTTAGTTCTAACTTGGCTTCATTGAGCTATGCAGATTTTGTGGGGTTATAGTTTATCACAGAGGTGTTGAGTGATTGCTTTTGCACTCTTGCATGAAATGTAGTAGAATGGAGTGGACTTGTGTTCTATTACTTGCATTCGGAAAAGGGTGCAGCCTCCAAACACATTCTTGACTAAAGCAATTAATAAACTATAACCTTTGTGTACTTCCTCTTAAAGATCTCTTATTCTTACAAAAAATTCCTGATTTGAGTTTTGGTGAATTTTTTGATTGAATTGTTATATTTGAAAAACTAATGTGACTTCTAGCTTGTCTCAAAACAAAGAGACCTCTTTAGTTTCCGATTCTGGTGTTGAAGTTCTGTTTGTTTTATTTAATGGCAGGATAGTGGGCTAGGTTACACTGTTTAACACTGCTTTTTCTTGTTCGTGAATTTCTTAACAGAAGAGGTAATTCGGAGATCTAAAGCAATGGAGGATGACGGCATTGGGACATTAAGGTTTGCCACATTGTCCATTTAACTCGTATTTACTAGTACCTGTATGTGGTGGCCATGGAATCTTTATTCTATTCGACAGTATTTAGTGAGTGTGATTTATTGCTCTTAGGATAAAACATTAGCTTATCTTTATTGTGCTTCTCATTGTGGAAGTTTCATCTTCTCTAGATTCTAGGAAACCAAAGGCCCTTCTGTTTCAGGTGATTTTCAGTTTTGGCTGGTTGTAGGAAAAATGTTAATTTTTTTATATATGAATGTTATTATGAGGATATATATTTAAAATTTGGTTAAGATATCATCATTTTCTCTGGCCACGTAAAATCAAAATTGGTATGTCAATTGTATTTGAATTGTTTTGTTCTCACTACCCATTTTTGGATATTTACGACTATGGATAACCCAATAAGATAGCAGAGTATTGTTTTCATGAGCCATGATGCCCATGGGGGCCATGTCTACCTCAGATGCATTCATTGTACTCAGTCGATACTTTCTGATTCCGAAAAGGCACATAAGAGTTTTGGAACTTGGAAAAGGATTTATGCATATCTGGATTCTTTTATGTGTGTGTGTGTGTGTGTATTCATAGATAGATAGATTTATCAGCTTTTGGAATAAGTCTCCATAGTGTTAGGATCTTTCTTTGTGTGCAGTGTGGACTCTACTTCCGGCCAATGTAAAACAATGACAGTATCAATTCTATACGTTCAGGACAGACTTCTTCCCAAATTTTGGCTTTCCTTGGTATTATGTTCTTTGTATTGTTTTTCTTCATGCAATCATGCTAGATGCACGTCTTGTTTTGTGACATTATTCTTTGGCGGATTTGTGATTGTTGCTGTGTTGCATGAATGAAAACTTCTGGTAGTAGTTTTTCTGTTCTCCATTAAAAAACAATGAGTTGGCTACGGTGACAGTGGCCGGCTGAAAAGATATTAGGATGAGAGTTGAATAGTTTGTCCTAAGTCAACTGTGTCCTCTTTCAGATGCAATTTAGAGTGAGGTTTGAGAGGGGGTACTTTTGGATTGTGAAGGTTCTTTGCCGAAATATAATCAAGCTAATTGAAGTTTACAATCTGAAGTATGGTGCATAAGTTTCATTTGTAGAATGCCTGCTACAGTACTAGTTTATCCACTTATGCTGTCCATCTCCTCTTTTTCTGGATCAGAAAAGTGTCAAGGCAAGAGTATTTGAAGAAAAGAGAGCAGAAGAAATTAGAAGAACTCAGGTAATGAAATTTGATATATTCAGTTTCAGTTTAAAGAAAGCATTTGATATTTTTCCTTTTATAATTTTTCTATTCTATTTGGCTTGATCCAGAGATGATATTGAAGATGAGCAATACTTATTCGACGGTGTCAAGTTGACTGAAGCAGAGCAGCAGGAATTAAGGTAGTTATCCGTACTTCCATTTCGTTTCTATCATGGTTTTATATGAATATTTGTATTAATCTTAATAAGTTTCCATCTGCTGTTACTCTATGGTTGCCAAGGCAAACTATACTATATCTTCTTATGAAATAATACAAGGCATCCTGTCTCCGATTAGAATTTAGATGATCCGTTGATGATTTGCATCTTTAAGCTTTTGTTGTCTATGTACCATTGTCGATGGAAACCACCCTTTTGTTTGATGCTATTATGAAGTAGGTTTGTGAATCTGGATATTTCCCACTTCAATTTGCATTACACCTGGTGAACTTTCATGAATTCTGTAACTATTTGTGACTTTTTGGAGTCTGTTTTTTGTCATTATCTTTATGACACAAACTTTACGATTTGCATAACTTGTGACATGGTTTCATGATGTTTTTCTTCTAAAAGCTGTAGTGTTTCTTTGTGTTATTGGCTATTTGCATATGTTAGCCAACAACATGCCTAACCTATGTAAGCATGTGTGTGGTACAGCAAATGTAGAGTGCTTCACTTCTATGGCCTTGTTTGTGCTCCAAACTAGAAATATTGATGCTTCATTCTGTCAATTTTCAGATATATTCAACTGACGTCTTGTAATTTTACTTTTTGCAGATATAAGAAACAAATTTATGATCTAGTCAAGAAGAGGACAGAAGAATCTGATTTTGCCAATGAGGTGATAAACCTTTTAGTGACATTCGAGTAGCTCTTTGTCAATTTTACTTAGTACATTCTGTTAGGCTACTTGGCATTATATGCACATATTTTTGCATATCTATGCTATACTCTATAGCAACCTATTATAGCAACATATTTTATGTTTCTTGTATCTAGTTGAGCTACTTTTGGGTTATTTGACATAATCTCACTAGGAATTTTGTTATTTGGTTGATTGGCTGTCATTGACATGGAGTAGCTATATATTTGCCATCGTCATTACTTTGCCTTATTTTTGTTATTATGTAAGTTCATTAAATTTGTTTTTTTGGTTAAATGCAGTATAGGATGCCTGATGCATATGATATGGATGGTGGTGTCAATCAAGAAAAAAGATTTGCGGTAGCAATACAGCGTTACAGGTAACTTTTAGTGCCTCTGTAGCACTAGATGCTTTACTACCAATGACAGCATTGCAGCCTCAACTTACCCTCAGTTATTGAATCGAATCGATGGTATGTCTTTAACTTTCCCTTGGCTCGTTCAGGGATCCTGCTGCAGAAGAAAAGATGAACCCATTTGCTGAACAAGAAGCATGGGAGGATCATCAGATTGGTAATTCGTGTTTGACACGTGCTTTTATATATAGTGAGTCGATAATATCCAATTGCTAATCACGTGATGTAATATGATTCAGGCAAAGCAACTCTTAAATTCGGGTCCAAGGATAAAAAGCAAAAGCATGATGATTACGAGTAAGTTCAAATGACTTTATTTCAGTGTATCCTGGCATTGACTTCCGGATACGGACACCACTGCAGGCTCCAACCATTATGGTTTAATTATAGGAGTGTATAATTGGATCACACGAGTTGGTTTATTATTAACTATATAATCGATTGATGTTGTGTTTTGTCACATTAAGATTAGTAGAGAACCTTTAACCTTCTTTGTTCTCTGTTTATAATCAACTCACTTGTGCAGGTTTGTATTTGAAGATCAAATAGAGTTCATTAAGACAAATGTGATGGATGGTGTAAATGTATGTATATCAACTCTTCCTAACACAATCCTTCAAAATTGGTTATTATTATTATTTTCTTCATACCTTCTTTTTATCCGCAGATTGATCAAGAACTATCTGTAGAGTCACCGGAAGCTTCTGCTGCCAAAACAGCATTTGAAAAGCTACAAGTGAGTTACATATATAAACCTTCATTTTCTTTTTTTTCATTTTTGTGGTGAACTTGCAGAGATCCAAATGTTCTGCCATTAAATTAGTTATAGTTTTCTGCCAGAACCATATGTTATAGCGTTGACCTTTCCGTTGGCCTTTTATCTTTCAGAGTGATAGAAAAACGCTGCCAGTCTATCCTTACAGAGAGGAGTTGCTCCAAGCCGTTAATGATCACCAGGCATGACTGTTTTCAGGGTTTGTTTGTTAATTAGGGTAAAATCCCATTTTTATGGGACAATTAGTTGCTTTACAGAAACCATTCTGATTGCCGAAGTATATTAACTGTATATTTAGACCCATGATTATTTTTTTTTCCTGGTATTCTGATATCTTACCTACACAGTTTAGTCAACTTCTGAATATATCATTTTTTTCCTTCTTTTATTTCCTTAATTTACTCATGGAAAAGGGCTTATATGTTTGCTTTCTCGTAGAATAAAGAGAGAAATTATTCACAAAATCTTTGTTGATGTTTTATGTCTTTAGTATGCCAAATGATCCACCAAACAGATACTGATTGATAAAATTTATTGCAGGTTCTTGTTATTGTTGGAGAGACGGGTTCTGGAAAAACTACTCAGATACCTCAGTACCTCCATGAGGCAGGGTATACTGCCCGAGGAAAGGTACATGGGCTTGTGCAATCTATACACTTAAATACCAATCTGATATTTCATATTCTTCAAATTGTTAGTGCAGTCTTGTTTGAATAATGAGAATTTAGCTAGGCACATGCATTAGTTACGTTGTTATCAGCTTTATATTCTAATAAATATTTTTCTGACCTGCATATTTACTACTTTTACCTTGTCTACTAATCATTAACATGCGAAATAACATTACTTGTTATTTAAATGCAAAGCTTACTAGCTAATATGCCACTTAGTATTTTATTAGACTTTGTTTAATTTCTTGAGAAACTAGTTCTTGAATTGATTGGGCTTGATGAGAGCATCGTCTCATTTTCTCCTTTGGAGAACGAATATATAATCTCTAAAGTATTGTGGAAACGGCCTGTTGGTTTACATGGAACTTAGTTGCTGATGATTGTAACTTCTGTGGTGATCAGATTGGATGTACCCAGCCGAGAAGGGTTGCTGCTATGAGTGTTGCTGCTCGAGTATCTCAAGAAATGGGAGTAAAACTCGGGCATGAGGTGTGCGTTTCTTCTTTTACTGTGTATTGCTTCTCACGGCAGGTCATTTGAGGTCAACTAGTTTTGTTTTGAAAGTATAAAAAAGTTTTCATATGTTTAAATAGAATCTTGTCTGTTGATTTGGTTTTCTATGCAAGTTATCAGGGTCGACTACTGTTGGTGCAGCCGAGATATTATGTTAACTTGTTTACTTTCTTTGTTTTAGGTTGGGTATTCTATCCGATTTGAAGACTGTACTTCAGATAAGACGGTTTTAAAATATATGACCGATGGAATGTTGTTACGTGAATTCCTTGGAGAACCTGACCTTGCAAGTTACAGGTGCATTCAATATCAGATGTCCTAGATTTCTCCTGTGAAACTTCTTACTAATATTTCCTAATGTAATTTTCAGTGTGGTGATGGTGGATGAGGCCCATGAAAGAACGCTCTCAACAGATATTCTATTTGGCTTGGTTAAGGTGAGGTTACTTATTATTATTATTATTATTATTATTATTATTATTATTATTATTATTATTATTANAGACTATGTTTTCCCATGGCAGGATATCGCTCGGTTTCGTCCCGATCTAAAACTGCTCATCTCGAGTGCCACGCTCGATGCAGAAAAATTCAGCGATTATTTCGATTCAGCTCCGATTTTCAAAATACCCGGGAGAAGATTTCCAGTCGAAATACATTACACAAAAGCCCCTGAAGCTGATTACCTCGACGCTGCTATTGTTACTGCTCTTCAGATTCACGTGACTCAGCCTCCCGGAGATGGCGACATTCTCGTTTTCTTAACGGGACAGGAGGAAATCGAAACTGCTGAAGAGATTCTCAAGCATAGGACCCGAGGGCTAGGGACGAAAATAGCCGAGCTCATTATATGCCCTATTTATGCCAATCTGCCTACAGAGCTTCAGGCCAAGATATTCGAACCCACTCCTGAAGGTGCACGTAAAGTAGTCCTGGCAACTAATATTGCCGAGACTTCTTTAACAATTGACGGGATTAAGTATGTGATCGATCCTGGTTTTTCGAAAATGAAGTCTTACAATCCGAGGACTGGGATGGAATCTTTATTAGTCACTCCAATTTCGAAAGCATCGGCCAATCAGCGAGCGGGTAGATCTGGAAGGACGGGTCCCGGAAAATGCTTTCGACTGTATACTGCTTATAACTATCATCACGATCTAGACGATAATACTGTTCCTGAAATTCAAAGGACCAATTTGGCGAATGTTGTTCTTACTCTCAAGAGCCTCGGCATTAATGACTTACTGAACTTTGACTTCATGGACCCTCCACCATCTGAAGCTCTGCTGAAGGCTTTGGAGTTGCTTTATGCTTTGAGTGCACTTAATAAGCATGGTGAGTTGACGAAAGTGGGTAGAAGGATGGCTGAGTTTCCGCTTGATCCTATGCTGTCGAAGATGATTGTCGTGTCTGAGAAGTATCAATGCTCGGACGAGGTCATATCTATTGCTGCAATGCTTTCTATTGGGAATTCGATCTTTTATCGTCCTAAGGATAAGCAGGTTCATGCAGACAATGCCCGTCTGAATTTCCACACGGGAAATGTTGGAGATCATATTGCTTTGCTTAAGGTCAGTTGGCCATATACGTGATAGCATTTGCATTTGTTGTGCTCTTGTCGTTAAATTTTTTGTGAACGCTTATGGTGATTGTTTCAAAATGATTGTTAAACTTCAAATCAAGAACAGAGCATTTTAGATTGATCCGAACAAATGTTCAAGAAAAAAAAAAAATAATAATAATAAATCTTGGGGTATTTGTGAATGAGACTGGAGATTAATCAAGTAAATGTGTTGATTCTGAGTTGCAATTCAATCAGTACAGATTTATTAGACCTCAGGGAACCTAATTGTGGGATCCTCTTGTTTGACAATTTAGGTGTACAGCTCGTGGAAGGAAACCAATTTTTCAACCCAATGGTGCTATGAGAATTATATCCAGGTAGATCTCAATAACTTTTAGTTTTTTTCTTTTCTTTTTCTTTTTTTTTCCCCCCTAAAAGCCTTGTTACATTTTGGCTGTTTATTTATGGTTAAGAATTAAGATGGTCCCATCTCATAATTTGTGCTCATTTGAGTCATTTACGGTGATATAATCGGATATAATTGTCATAAAATTTATAATCTGGATAAGATGCAGATAATCTGTACTCACTTTGTGAATACATTATTGCTTGGAATAATTGAAGTGGAATTTATCATTTTCTGCAGATTTAAAGAACTTGTTATGAGGTTGTTGGTTGTCTTTGTTTTTTAAGAAACTTTGTAAACTTCTCCAGCCAGATTGGTGAGGCTTGTGGAGCACTTGGGACTTTTTTGACCATTTTCTTAATTAACTGCCTCTGTTTTAGGTTAGAAGCATGAAGAGAGCTAGAGATATACGTGATCAACTAGAAGGGCTTTTGGAAAGAGTTGAAATTGAATTGACTTCCAATCTGAATGACTTGGACGCAATTAAGAAAGCTATAACAGCAGGGTTTTTTCCGCACTCTGCAAGGTTACAAAAGAATGGGTCATATAGAACGGTCAAGCATCCACAAACAGTTCATATCCACCCGAGCTCTGGCTTGGCACAGGTAAAATCATATTTTATTTTTAACTGAATTGCTAAAACAAATTTAGTCTATCTTGAATTCCTTTACAAAAACTTAAATTACATCATCATCCTCTTCTCCTTTCGTCTAACAACATCTCAAGTATAATTCATATATAAAAGGACTTGTCTCGTCTGTATTTGTTATGTGGCTTTATACCCGTTATGAATCTGTACGTTTTATTTGTCAAAGTGTTTGTAATGATTTGGTAGCTTCATAAGATTTTCTTTGACCCCGTTTTAGGTACTTCCAAGATGGGTCGTGTACCACGAATTGGTTTTAACAACTAAGGAGTACATGCGTCAGGTCAGAATTCTTCCATATTTTAATTCCTGTTTTACCTGCAAAATATCTTGTGGCCGTTTGCCACTAAAACTCACCTCTCGACTTTGGACAGGTGACAGAACTGAAACCAGAATGGCTGGTAGAAATAGCTCCACATTATTATCAGTTGAAGGATGTGGAAGATTGTAAGTCCCCTCTCTCTCTCTCTCTCTCTCAGCCCTCTGAACTGCAGGCCCACGTTCTCTGTTTCGTTTGGCACATCATTCATTATATAAACACACCAATCCATACACACTCAACCACTTCACTCTCTCTCTCTCTCTCAATGATTTGTCTCTCTGTTGTCTTTCCCTTATTTCTATTACTTCTACTATGCAGTGAATTCGAAGAAAATGCCACGTGGAGAGGGTAGGGCTGCTAAGGATTGAGTTCAGACAAGTCTGTGTGTGCACATTTTTTGTAGGGTTATACTAATTTCCGACCTTTTGTTGTAACTACATTATGGTGTAAGATATTTTTCTGTAAATGTACATATTCGTGGCTGATAAGTTTAATAGGTTTCTAATCACTTGAAAAGAGGGTTGAAAAAAATGTTCAATACACCAAACTTTTAAATCCATAATCACCTTAAATTTTATTTTGTACGCAATATCAAATCATAGTATCTAGAGTGTTGTTATGCCTAAGGTTATGTTTGGTAAATTTAACTGGTTAATTAGCTCATATCTTGAATTTTGAGCTTATAGTTAAAAAATTAGCTGATATGATAAAAGTGATTGGTATAATTAGTTGGTAGACTAATTGAAGCCAATTGAAATAAAAATTTCGAAAGATTTATTTGAAAAAAACTATCAAAAGAAGCTTATGAAATAAATTTGAGTTTTTTAAAAACAATTGTCCTACCAAATCAACTTGTTTGTATACATGAAGTTTATAAATTAATCAAATAAGACTATGGTGTTTACCAAAACACAGTATAAGGTTCTGAAGGCATTAAACTAATATTTTTGTTGGCTTTTTCCAATATTTGTGCTGAGCCTAGAGAAACATAATAAAAATCGAAAGTACCCCTGGNAAAAAAAAAAAAAAAGAAAGAAATTAAACAATTGGTTTCGAACTTAGATGAGAACATAAAATATTAGCAGCTACTTATTCACGTTGAGGCAGTCATACATAATAAATGACAATCCCTCAGTGAAACACTCGTGTTCAAATTAATGCATTCAACTGAAGAACATAAACTAAAACATCAAAAGAACCCAAAAGCCACGAGAACTTTCATTTGAACATAAACTACAAGCATGCATTTAACAAAAAATGTCTTTCTTCACAAGAGAGAACTTCCACTAGGACTTTTTCGGGGTTGCTTTGCACAAATTCCTCCATTTATCTTTGAGATCAACCGTGCTACGACATTGATGGAAGACACCGGCCCCATGTTCCAGAATTTTCTTCCACGGAATTAGTTTGTCGTGTCGGCTACAGTGTACTCTCATCCCTTCCTGTTTAAGAGAAGAAAATGCACGCTATTCCTTAGTACATTGAGAAAATTGCAAAGTACGAAACTGAATGCCTATTAATGAAAGCACACTCTCAAATTACATGTATAACTATATGAAGCTCAATCTGAGAAGCAAACCAATTAGAGCATTGGATGATAGCTCCAATTGATTGTAACGATCTGCATATATCTTATACCTGCTTGGGTATGAGCATGTAGTTGCTTGTTATATCTTGTGAGACGACAGATTTTAAATTTTTAAGAGAAAATTTGATTTCTAATTAAGGTAAAAATATTAGTCCTCTATTGCATGCCCAT